GGGGGGGGGGGGGGCGCGTGGCCTCTATTTTTCAGGGGGGGTTCGGGTACGGGTTGGGGGTCGGGTCTATGTGTAGTGCATTCTCGAATTGTGAGGCAGGGGCGAGCCATTTTTGCCCCAGCAGCGTAAGCAGTGCCCTGCGTTTGAACAGCGGTACACCGGCTGTTGTACGCTGGTGGTTGGCATGTGTGGCTGAGGCTGGGGTAGCGAAACACAGGCACCCAAGCTGTCTTCACCTGATGATTACTGACTTGGCAACGCTTTCACAATACCGCATCAAACCCAGGCGCTCAGAATAGAGCCGGTATTGTACGCCAAGTACTCCCAATATCCTGCAGGAGTCGGGCGAAGGCTTAATCGCGTTTCTGAGAGTCGCATCTCAGAGACTGTGCGTGTGGTTTTCCCAGACCGTGCTGTTGAAATCAATTGACATTCCGCGACACTACTGCGATATACTACCCCCCCACCCAAGGGCAGAAACCACTGGGCCCCTCGTGCAGTGGGGGGTTCCGCGGGGGTACACGTCGCGGGCAAATCGATGTTCGATTCGCGGAAGCGAGATATGCCCCTCCTAGACCTTTTCCCTCTGACTCGTGTTTTTCGGCACAGCTTGCGTACTAGCCTATACCGCAACAACGAACTTCCGCTTGGTCGTTATCCCGGAGACCCGGGGAAATATAAGAGGGTAGGGGGAGAAAACACCGACACATGTATCTCCTCTCAACACCTGTGATGCTCTTGTGCCCCCTCTGGCGCACCCGAGGCTTGTCCTATTAGCAGTGTTCTTTCAGCCCAGGCGCTCCAGTTCGGACTCCGGTGCAGGATGCCGATTTTCAGATTTTCAGTACCACCGATACCAGTATTTCAGGTGTTCCCCCCGCAGCTTGTGCCCGTAGACAAAGACGACGATGATTGTTGCATGCAACACCTCCATTCCCACCATCACACCACAAGCCTCAGTGTTCTTGTAGGACTGACTCCTGCTTTGCTGAAGGTGGCATTGGGCCATCGCTTTGGCTCCCTAGGCTTTGGCTTCCTGTTTTAGGTGACATCGTCTATCTTGGTATTTGGTGCCTTGGATTGTGCTTTCGCTCTCAAGTCTTGGCAAGTTTGGTATTCTTCGCCACAAGAATAAGAAAGAGCCCCCGTGGAACCCTCCTCCCGTGTGACCCCGGCTATCGCGTGAAGTATGTTGTACAACGGGCTTAGTCTGGCGCCAGCATAAATAGGACAGACACACACACGCGGGCGATCTGATCACGTTTTCGCTACGACAAACACGCACAGGTGGTGTCGTTGCGTTGTTTTTTTTGTCACGCGGTGTTGGCGAGCATTTCCATTCGACATGGCACACACACACAGTCGTGTGGTTAGGCTGTGTACGGCAGGCGTACGGCAAGCAGTTTTGTTTTGTTTTGATGCGTTCGTTGCCGTCCAAGTCTCGGCGACAGCTTCACAAGAACAGCAAGAACACTCTTCGTCGGCGTCTCGTGTTTGGGCTTTCGACGCTTGCGCTATGCTGGCTTTTGACACTTGCGCTATGCTGGCTTTTGACACTTGCGCTATGCTGGCTTTGGACAGGCATTATGCATACTTGTGCGATTCGCCAAACGGTCAGGAAGGGGCCCTCAACCGCGCTGCGATGGAAAGGAGAATAAGGACGCTTGAAGACGAGGTTAGTGGGTGTACGTGCATACCTGCGCGTAGGATTATTCATTCGGGACTGCTGTAATGTTTTCGTCTCTGATTTCGGCACGTCTGTTCTAGATGCTGTGTCCTTGCACTAGTCGTTGGGTATCGTTTTCCAGCAGTATGAATCGGCATCTTCTAGGCGCCCGCTTCACGAACCGCCGCCTTTTTCCCGTGCTGCCGCCCGCGGACCTTGGATGAAAAAACGCAGAAACCCATGGTCAAAGCACACGCTTTTTTCGGGAGATATCTTGCGCAACGAAGTTTTTTTATCAGCAGGACGTGGTGACGTACTGCTTCAGCTTCATTTTTTTGCGGTTTGTCTCCTCTTGCGGACATCGACCATTCACAGAGAATAGAGTAGCGTTTTTGGCGAGTATTCCAAATACCCGCGTCCTGCATGCACAGGCTATTTGCCAGCTGATGGGTAGACAGCAAAATGAGCGCAACACACGGAGGGGGTTCCCGAGTTTCGTTTCGGGGCAGGCATCGGTGTTTCGGGAAGGAACATGTCGTAGGACATACTTGTGACGGCGTAGAGCCGGGTGAAGCTAGCTCCGTATGAACCTATTGCATGTTGGTTTTGTTGGTTGGTTGGTTGGTGTTTGTGTATGCTGTACACCCAAGGCGTAGCGTTTTTACTGGCACTGCATCCAGTCACGACCTAGGGATGAGGTTTAAGAACTGGTCTTGGACTTGGAAGAGTCCCAACTCCTCTGACCACCCTTTAGTCGTGTGGGTCAAATATGTGGGTCCAGTCTGTCATTGGTTGTGTTTTTTATTTGCTAATGTGCGACGATCTCCCCGTGTCTCTGTCTGTCTGTCTGTCTGTCTGTCGGTCTGTCTGTGCCAACCTTCCCCGTGATCAGATCCTTCAGAATAGTTTATTGATGGATAAGGTGCTGCGGGGTTTGGACACGACTTTTGGGGCATCCGGTGTACTCTCGGTGAAGGAGCTGCGACGTTTGGCACAGACGGTGAGACAGGATAACAGTCCAACAACAGTGTACAATTTCAACGGTACTGTAGTTTCAGAGGGACTCAGAGGAGAATAGTTGTGTGTGTGTGTGTGTGTGCATACATGTATTTAGACAGCTCTTCTGATATCGAATACGGTCGCTGCAGTCGTGCATTGAGAGGCACACTATTCTTCCGAGTGTAAGCGGTGCACATGGCGGCCGGTTAAGTCGAAAAAATGTAGATTTTCGTTCAAAGCACGGGACAATGCTGGGGGTTCCAGTACAGACGCAGCTTGCGAGGGTGGTCGATCAAGATGACTCCCCGCGAATGTGGTGGAAAGCTATATGGCAACCGCCGCAGCTGGCGACAGAATCACGTCTGGTGAGTTGGCCACTGAGTAGGCTTCGAAATATTTCTTTGCCAGACTCAGGTAGTGATGTCCTTGGGACGGCGAGCCAGATACGGTTTGAGGTTTCGCGCTACCTTTCGAGGCAGCCGTCTTGGAGTGGCGAAGTCTCGCCGCTTTGGGTGGATGGTGGCCTCCTCCAGGACGCTGGATTGCTCGGACACAGCCCCCGCGACCGTTTTTTTTTTGGCCTGTTGCCACCATGTTGGCAGCAAGATTGTGATTGCCGCAGTACATGCGAAGAGGCGCATTGTATGAAGGTCGGAAATCGCCCTGATCAGGAGCGGGTGGATGAAGGCGAAGCTTCGCGCCACAGCGCGCTACAGTGTATACCAAGAACCACCCCCCGCACCCCGACCATAGCACCGACACCCGATTCGACACGCGAATCGACCAGCCTCGTCAAAGACAGCCCACACGAACCACCTGAAAAAATGGCAACGCACCACACGCAGGAGGCTTCGGAGATCGGGGAGAGGCGGTCTCGTCAGCCCCCACCCCCGATGTCGGAGTTCGCGAAGTCGAGGGTTTCCAACGCCGTGGACGGCGGCAGGCTGCAGGACCTTGTGGAGGCCGCGGTTGGCTATGAAACCGGTTTCTTGAAGGAGGAAGAGATGACGATGGATGGGTTACCGTTGGGGGTTCTATCCCGACAAGGAAACGGAGGGAACCAGGGGTGGGATTGGTGAGTACTA